CAAGACAATCAAAAAGCAAGCTTATGTATACTAACTCAGAAACACAAGCGAACCACTCAAACCAATCAAATCGGAATAACTTTGGAGATTACAGAGGAAGGGGTAGAAAAGGGAAGGGGCAGAAGAGGACGTTCTAGAGGAAGGGGTCGCGGACGATTAAACAGCAGAAGAGATACTTCAAAAATGACATGTTTCCGGTGTAACAAGTTAGGTCACTATGTTTCTGTTTGTCCTGACCACTTATTCAAACTGCAAGAAGCCAAAGAAGATAAAAATTAGGATACGCTGGATGCAGATGAGCTTATGGTCCATGAAAAAGTCTATTTAAACAACTGCATTCCTAGTAAGTACGAACCAACCACAAACGATGACAATGTATGGTATCTAGACAACGGAGTTAGCAACCATATGACTGGAGATACAAGATACTTCTCGGAAATCGATAAAACTGTTACAGGAAAAGTCCGATTTGGTGATGATTCTCGTATAGATATAAAAGAGAAAAGTGTGATATCATTCATTGATATGAATGGAGAATCAAGAATGATGGCCGATGTCTATTTCATTCCAGATCTGAAGAGTAATATCATCAGTCTTGGTCAAGCTAAGGAATCAGGATGCGATATACGGATGCGAGGAGAATAGTTGACAATGCATGACAACGAAGGAAAATTGCTTGTCAAAGCAAATCGAGCCAAGAACCATCTATACAAGGTCCACATGAGCATAAAAGATGTAGCTCATCTACACCTAACATCGGCGAACGAGTCCAGCATATGGCATGCGAGACTAGGTCACATCAACTTTGATTCAATGAAATCAATGATACAAAAGGAACTCGTTCATGGGATTCCAAGCGTCAACGTTGAAAGAACAATCTGCGGTTCTTGTTTGCTTGGGAAGCAAACTAGGCAAGCTTTTCCCCAAACCACTAAATACAGAGCAACTCAAATACTCGAGCTGATTCACAGAGACCTTTGTGGTCCCATAACGCCAAGCACACAAGCCGGAAACAGGTATATTTTTGTGCTCATCGATGATCACTCCAGATATATGCGGACTATTATGTTGAAAGAAAAAGGTGATGCATTTAACAAATTTAAGAAGTTCAAGGCATTGGTGGAGCAAGAATTAGGAGTAAACATACAGACATTCATAACAGATAGGGGAGGAGAGTTTCTCTCGCATGACTTTAATGAGTTCTGCAACAACTCGGGGATCAAAAGACATCTTACAGCTCCATACACCCCTCAACAGAACGGTGTTTCTGAACGACGCAACAGGACAATGATGGAGATGATGAGAAGTATCATGAAACACATGAATATACCAAATTATTTGTGGGGAGAAGCAATTCGACAGACAACGTATCTCTTAAACCGGATAGCCACGAGGGCGCTTAAAGATAGAACTCCATACGAAGTTCCACGATCAAAGAAACCAAACATTGATCATCTTTGGGTTTTCGGATGTATCAGGTATGCAAAGATCAAGAAACCTCAGCTGAGAAAGTTGGATGACAGGTCCAGAATGCTCGTCCACTTAGGAACCGAACCAGGCTCAAAAGCATACAGAATACTAGATCCGAAGACGAAAAAAATAGTGGTGAGTCAAGACGTTGTGTTCGATGAAAGTAAGAGCTGGAACTGGAGTCTTTCGAAAGGAGAAATCAACGACAGTTTCAGTGTAGTACTCGGGAAATTTGGAAACCATGGCATACAAGAGATGAGAGAATAAACAACTAGCGATCAGTCTCTTGAGAATATAAAAGAGAATAGAGATAACAGAGTTAATAATACAAATAATAACAGTGATTCAGAGGAATCATATGGATTTAAGGCGGAGGAGGCAGAAGCTAATGATGGAGATGATCATGATACTCATCAACAAGCTCCGAAAGATACATGATATCCACAAAGAGAGAGACAGCTGCCAAAATATCTCAGGGAAAATTATGTTCTGTACTTTGCGGAAGAAGAAGGAGAAAGGCTACTGTTTTGCATAAACAACGAACCAAGAGATTTCAATGAGGCCAGGGAATCAAAGGAGTGGATGTTAGCATGTGAAGACGAGACTTGGAACTTAGTGGATCTTCTGCAAGGACCAAAACCAATAGGTTTAAAATGGGTATTTCAAGTTGAAGCGTAACTCGGATGTGAGTATCAACAAGCACAAGGCTTGACTTGTAGCAAAGGGATATGTTCAGAGATATGGAATTGACTTTGATGAAGTATTTGCCCCAGTAGCTAGGCTCGAAACAATAAGACTTCTCATTAATCTAGCAGCATCGCATGGATGGGAAATACATCATCTTGATGTCAAGACAGCTTTACTTCATGGGGAACTGAAGGAAACGATTTATGTCAAACAACTCGAGGGGTTTGAAGAGAAAGGACATGAGGACAAGATATGCAAGCTTAATAAAGCCTTGTATGGCTTAAGACAAGCGCCAAGGGCTTGGAACAACAAGCTCAATCAAATCCTTGTTGAGCTTGGATGTAAGAAGTGTTCTAAGGAACCATCAGTGTATCGAAAGATGGCGAGACACAACTTTCTCCTTGTAGCAATCTACATAGATGACTTGTTTGTCACGGGGACAAGTTTAGAGATGTTGACAGATTCAAGCAAGAGATGGCTACCAAATTTGACATGAGTGATCTTGGAAAGCTAACATACTATCTTGGAATTAAAGTATGTCAACGAGAAGGAGAAATCGTACTAAACCAAAGACGTTATGCATTGAAGATCTTAGAAGAAACTGGGATAGAAAACTGTAACTCAGTTCATACACCGATGGAATCTGGGTTGAAGCCGTCAAAATCCGAAGGCGAACAGAGCATTGATGCTATGGGATATAGGAAGAATATTGGATGTCTTCGTTATCTTCTTCACACACGACCTGATTTAGCATACTCTATTGGAGTACTCAGTCGCTATATGCAGGATCCGAAAGAATCACATGGAGCCGCAATGAAACAGGTCTTAAGGTATTTACAAGAAACTGCAGCTCTTGGTCTAAGATTCAAACGATCGAGCACGAAGGTACTGTAGTTGATAGGCTACAGCGATAGTAATCATAATGTTGATCCAGATGACGATAGAAGCACAACGGGACACATCTTCTTGGTGAAAGTCCAATCTCGTGGTGCTCTCAAAAGCAGGATACGGTGGCATTATCTTCCTGTGAAGCCGAGTTCATGGCAGATACTGAAGCAGCAAGACAAGCGATTTGACTTCAGGATCTGCTTAGTGAAGTTACTAGACTACCGAGTGAAAAGGTTATCATTCGCATTGATAACCAGTCAGCAATTTCTTTAACCAAGAACCTGGTGTTTCATGGTCGCAGTAAACATATTCACACCAGATATCACTTCATAAGAGAGTGTGTTGAGAATGAGCAAGTAGAAATGATACATGTCCTCGGAAATGAGCAAAAGGCGGACATCTTAACTAAAGCACCTGGGAAAATCAAGTTCAAGGAAATGAGAGAATTAATCAGCATTCAAGATCTTAGAAAAGTCGACTTCAAGCTTAGAAGGGAGAATGTTGGGATAAGCTTGAAGAAAGCTTAAGCCTCAAATCATCCTAATCATATGCTGTCATGGAATCCTAAGTCGCTTAGGATTAACGTTATGTTTAAGAGTTATCTAAATATACATTATGATTAGGAAGAGTGTTAGGCAAGTCTATATATAGGATTATGTCGAGCTGTGACATAACTTAGAAGTTTAAGGATTTGAGAGCTTTAGTTTTTGAGTGAGTTTTCTAAAACTATAAAGAGAGACATTCTTTCATCTTAAATTCTTATACAAAACACCTTTCTTTAGATTCTATAAACTATGCTTTCGAATTACCATTAGGTTTTCATGGTTTTGATTTTCCGCCAAAAAGATGTTATTTCAGTTGTTACCGATGATGTTAATGGCTTCTCGTTTGGTTTGTGTTTAAGTTGTCGATGAAAAAATAAAATGGAGGAGACAATTGTCTCTACCCCACGTATCTCAAAAAAAAATTAAACCCTTTGAATTTATTAATTAGCCAGTGGATTAATGGATTCAATGGGCCAATAAACCCAAACAAGATTATATGAACCGTTGATAAAACTCCATCTAAGTTATATATTATAACCCATTGTTCAGCTGAAACTATTAAATTAAGTATAGACCCAGTGGGCTAACAAACCCAGACAGATTAATCAGCCCAGAGTCAGCTACATTCTTTTTACAAGCCCACCAAACCAACTTCAGAAGCGATACGACGACGTTAAACCAGATTATATGAACCGTTGGAACATATATTAAACCCATTGTTAAGCTGAAACCATTAATTTATATACAGACCTAGTGGGCCAACATACAGAGTAAGCAGCCCATAGTCAACTTAATTTTGCATGGGCCCATCACACCTGCCTCGGAGAAGATACGACGTCGTTGGAAACTGTCGGTGTCTCTCTATGAGAAGAAAAAACGACGACGTTGAGCACATTCACATGGCTTCCCACCTGTCCAAGTGTGAAGCTGCCGGATTTTCGCTCTAATTAAATACTTTTGAAAAAACAATAATATTATTATTTGTATCTCTGCAAATTGAAGGGACGCACGATTTTAGTGGCAATCTAACAGGAACACTACTCTCTCTCTTTCTCTCCAGATCCCAAAAATCAAACCTTTCTTTTCTTTTCTTTCTTCCCCCAAAATTGTTCATCTTTCTGTTTGCCCAGAAAAAGAAATCCACATTCAAAGCTTCTCTCTTGATTTTCCTTTTCAGGTAAAAGTTACCTTTTTTATATAGTTTTTTCTTTGTGTTTTGGTTAAATTTAGTAATTGCTTAGATTTGTTCCAGTCATTGTGCATTTAGCTAGATCCGATCGATTTTGGTTTAATTATTGAAATTTATTGGATGAGAGTTTACAAGATCTGAGATTTGGGTTTTGATAGGTTTGTTTTGATTTTGGGGGAAGTAAAAAAAAAAAAAAAAAAAAAAAAGAAGAAGAAGAAGAGATGTTTAGATCGTCACCTAGAAGAGGACAGAGATCAAAAGGCTTCAAGGTGAAGCATTGTATACAATTGACTCTGTTACTTGGTGTTGGGATATGGTTGCTTTATCAAGTGAAGCATTCTCATGAGAAGAAGGCTCAGTTTGAGGAAAGTGCAAAGCTTGTTGGAGAGAAAGTGATGAGACTCGGTAGGAAAGATCTTAATCCCAAAATCGAGGAAGAAGCTGAGGTTGAAGGGAAGAGGAACGTGGAGGATAGTTTCAATGGTGTAGGAGATTCGGGGATTGAGAAAGAGAATGAGATTGGAGAGGTTGTAGAGGAGAATAAGGAGATTGAGAGTGAGAGAACGGATTCAAACAGTGAAGAAACCGAGGTTGAGGCGAAGAAAGACACAGAAGAGGTTGAGGTTGAGGAGAAGAAAGACAATGGTGGTAGTACTGAAGAGAGTGAGGTTGAGGAGAAGAAAGAGAATGGTGGTGGAGAAGAGAGTGAGGTTGAGGAGAAGAAAGAAGAAAATGGCGGTAGCACGGAAGAGAGTGAGAGCGAGGAGAAGAAAGAGAATGGCGGTAGTACGGAAGAGAGTGAGAGTGAGGAGAAGAAAGACAATGGCGGTACGGAAGAGAGCGAGGAGAGTAAAGAGAAGACGAATAGCGCAGAAGCAAGAGAGAACAATTACAAAGGAGATGATGCTTCTAGTGAGGTAGTCCATGAGACGGAGGAAAAGACTGAGAACGTTGTTGAGAAGGTGGAGGAAGTGGAAGAAGACAAGTCGGATCGAAAGACGGAAGAAGCGGATGATTCTGTAATCAAGAGCGTTGTGTCTGATAATGGGGAAAGCAGCAGCGATGAGAAGACTGGTTCTTCGTCCTCTGATTCGTCGAGTGAGATAAAATCTGAGGGTGAGTCTATGGAGAAGAATGAGAAGGTGGAGAAGGAAGGGTTCAATGATTCTAATGGCGACTTGACTACTGAGTCTAACAAGTCATCGTCCAATGCAACAGAGACTACAGAGTCTTCTGGAAAAGATGAGTCAGAGTCTAGTGAAAAGACAGAGGAGAAAGAGAACGAAACAGAGAAAATTGAGAAAATTGAGAAAGAAGAAGAGACTTCGTCTCAAGAAGAAAGTAAAGAGAAAGAATCTGAGGAGAAGGAGAAAGAAGAGTCATCGTCTCAAGAGGAAACTAAAGACAAAGAAACTGAGGGAAAGGAGAAAGAAGAGTCTTCGTCTCAAGAGGAGACTAAAGACAAAGAAGGCGAGACAAAGGAGCAAGAAGAGTCTTCCTCCCAAGAGAAGAACGAAGAAAAAGCAACCGAGAAAATTGAGAAAGAAGAGTCTTCTTCTCAAGACGAGACTCAAGAAAAAGAAACAGAGAAAATTGAGAAAGAAGAGTCTTCTTCTCAAGAGGAAAACGAAGTCAAGGAAACAGAGAAGATTGAGAAAGAAGAAGAGTCTTCGTCACAGGAGAAGAACGATGACAAAGAAACCGAGACAAAGGAGAAAGAGGAAGAGTCTTCTTCTTCCCAAGAGGATACTAAAGACAAAGAAACCGAGACAAAGGAGAAGAAAGAGGAAGAGTCTTCTTCTTACCAAGAGGATACTAAAGACAAAGAAACCGAGACAAAGGAGAAAGAAGAAGAGTCTTCATCCCAAGAGAAGAATGAAGACAAGGAAACAGAGAAAATTGAGAAAGAAGAGTCTTCATCCAACGATTCACAGGGAAATGAAAGTAGTGAGGCTGAGAAGAAGGAAGAGGTTGAAGAAAAGAAGACTTATGAAGACACAACAAGTGTATCTACTGATACTGAACAAAAGAAACCAGAGGATACTTCAGAAACAGAGCCAGAGAAAGAGGAAAGCAACAAGAATGGTGAGACAGAGGTGACACAGAACGATCAAGAACAGTCTGATTCTTCTTCTGACAATAACCTTCCTCAAGAAGTAAAAGATGTTCGTACTGATCTTGATACTTTGCCGGATTCTGGCAATGGAGGAACCAGTGAGAGCGTTGCAGCTGAGTAAAAAGCATCTCCTGGTTTTGATCAAATTCTCACGTTGATGTTGTTTAGTAGAGAGAGAGAGAGAGAGTTTACGAAATTGAATTTGTTGTTGTAATCTTTCTTTTACATATTATTATTGGCTGTGTAATTCACAAAAAGAATAGTTTTTTTTTTTGTACCGAACACAAATGTTTTTTTTTCCTGGGTTTTGTCTTCAGAATCAAATTCTTTGAAACTTCGAATAAAGCCTAAAATTCCACTAATCATAATGTGTCATACAAGAAAAGAGATTATCGAAAACTAATCCTCATTCTAAACCGTAGATATTAGCAATATACATAGCTAATTATATCTCAACCAATCAATTTATATATATAATTAAACTCACGCCTCATGAGAAACCAGAAGATGTCTCAACGTCGTTACTTCTCGGCCTTTCCGATCACCTTCATCTCCATCTTCCGCACACGTGTCTCGATCTACGCCGTCCATCATCATCATATCGCGAACCTCGTCTTCCCTCCATCCCGCTTCCCTCAGCTTCCAAAACGCATCGTCCAAACACGCCCTTAACCTCTCATCACAACTAGACGCGCTCCACCACCCGCGCGTATAATCACGCGCCACCACCTTCTTCATCGTCATCATCCGCCCTCTCTCCGCCACGTCACTCCAGAACTCCACTCTACGTAGTAATCGTCGCGATATACAGGGATCATGACGACCGTCCGATCGACTAAGCCCTTGGAGAAATTCAGCGACGTCGCAACTCAAAACCCTAACTCCATCGCCGTCGATTTGAAACACAGGGTTTCTCGCCAAATTCGGCGTCGTCGAAGGGACGTAGAAATCGCCGTAGACGGGAACAAGAACCGGAGCGATTTGAATCAATTTCTTAACGAGCGATAAAGCCGCCGCGTCGGATCCGGGTCGGGATCCCCAAGAGTCGACCCAGAATCCGTTTCTAGTGACGATTTTGGATATATGAAGAAGGGGGAGATTGAACAAGAGAAGGAGATTGTTCCGGGTCGACCCGGATCGCCAATTGGGGAAATGGGTACCCACCGGAAGACCCGTTTGAAGAATCGAACGGAGGTCAAGAGGGAAGGAGAAACCAAGGGAAGATTCAACGGCTGAGATCTCTTGATTGGTGAGACCAGGCGAAACATCGAGACCGGTTAGAGATTTCAAATGGTTGATAGTGGTTTTGCAGTAAACCGGTAACGGAGGCTTAGCGGAGTCTCTAAATGGATCTGTGATAATGTTACCAAGCGGACTAATTATTCCGGGAAGACGATGTAACATCTTTGTATATTAGTTTTGGCTGAAACAAGTCAAGAGATATATAGCATTTATAAAGGAGAGAATCAAATCTAATTTCTTTACAAATTTTCATTATAAAAATGCATGAATGATTATAGAAAGTTACGTAAATTGGAACCATTTTGATTTTTTTATAATACGGCAGAGTGCAGAAGAGGGAAATTAAATCGTGTTGGTATAATATCTACGTCTGAATCTTACAGCAAATATTAGCTAATGATATTATATTAACTTACCAAAAAATCTTTTTACATAGTAACCAAAATGTTTTTCAACAACCACAAAATTTTGTAGATGGGTTCACATCTACAAAAATTTGTGGAGTAAACAATACATATAACTGTTATTGAATTTAGAATATCTAAATATCTGGAAGAAAAATCCTTTATAACAATGAAAGGATTAGACGATCTTCAATGGTTTATATTATTTTCTTACTATAAAAATAAAGTTCTTTAAAGATAGAGAATGAATATATATGGTTCACTCTATTTTATATACTCAAATTATGGTTTTGTTAAAATCAAATGTTTACATTATCAAAGTATTTTTCTTTGATTTCGAGTTCAATCCTTCATATTTAGAAAATGATCACTTCTTAAGGGGGTACACAAAAAGTCAAAAAAAACTTTAAATCCTGCACCAATCAATACATTAATTTTGCTATCTAACTGCCCCTTAAAACCTATAATTAACCCATGATTTTTATAATTAAATATACATCAGATAAATTAAAGTGAAATGTGGTGATAATTAATGATAAATACGCATATTGAATTCACTTTTATTTGGCATTTTCTTCTCCTTTTTGTGTCAAATAAAACCTCACAATGGAGACAATGGAACCACTGTGCTGATGTTATTGCCAAAAAGGCATTTCCTTGTTCTATTTTCTTTGCTATTTATCTTTTCTTCGTTACACCAATGGAGGAAAGGAGAAACATTTGAATTATTTGGTCTAAGACCCTTTTTTAGAGGTTCTAATCGTGTAAAGTTAATCAAAAAATAGAAGTTTATTTGAGCCAGAAAACCTTTTTGAGTCTCAAATTACTGATTAGGTAGGATTTCAAGACAGATGATTAAAAGTTAATCTTCCTTTTTAGATTTTATTTGTATATTTTATTTGAGAGATCCGATCTGTTTAGCTTTTGGTATCCAAAATATTTGTCGTTCAAGACAGAATGTGTCGGCTTCGAGTCTCATGGGCTGGTTTTGTCTTATGTTTTTATATGTGATATCACTTTTGTAGCAGAAGTGGGGATATGTTTACATTACCCACACAATTATTTAAAGACTTTGATTTTTATCATATAGAACGTAAAAACATGTATGTTAGATGAGATCTTTTGTAGGAAAATAATTGTTTGAACCTGTCCATGTCCGTATCTTGAAATACCGATGTGGATGTCTTTGAGAATATCCTGGTTCAAATTAGTAACGGGACAAAATATTTACAAACTCGAAAGAGAATTGTAGTGCTTGAGTTTATCTTCTAGTCAAATCTTCATATAAAGCCAAGATATTTTGAAGCCTAAGGACAAATTACTTTTTTGATAAAGTTTTTTAACTATGTTGACCATTATTCACGAACATAGAAAATTTACCGCTAGACATTTTTCTTTAAATATATCTTTTGACAATATACGTAAAATTTTAACTGGATTCATATCTTTATCATGTTGTAGTCTCCATAAACCAAAAAACATCTTCCCTCCTTAACTTAAGTTAACAAGAAATTTAGATATTTTTTAACTTTTCATTATCCGGAAACAAACAGTTGCATTATATATACAAAATAGAGAAATATTCATAAGCATATAATAATAAGTTTGTCAATTTGTTTGCCAGACGTCAGCAAAATTTGGCAACGACATGCAAGATGCCACCAAGGTTGGCCAGAAGTCGACAAGATATGCAAGATGTTGGCAAAGGTCTGTTAAAAAAATTTGGACTAAGGTTGGTGAAAATTTATATGATATGGATATGTTGGTGCCAAGCCGTAGTTGCTCTTTAACTTGCAAGTCAAGTTAGATGTCTTAGATATAGTATATGAATATGAATATTGACGATCTATGCATATAATGGAATTTTGGATCAATAAATGCAAATTTTTAAATGAGTAGTTGAACATTCAAAAGTGTTGATTGGAAGTGACTTTAAAAAATAGTAGATAAACTGTATATAATGGAGTCATTCTCAAATGAGTGGAGGAATGCAACAATAGAATACAAAAAGTAACTGACGAGGAAACAAAATATTAACATGAATAACAATCATATTACGTTAGATATATAAACTTATAAAAGTCTATGGAGTAATCAAACAAAATCAACAAATTACAGTTGCATTTGTATTTGTATATCTCAAATTTGGGGATACATTTTGCGGATACAATGCTTGTTGGCTTCCTTAATACTCTGAGTCATCTGTTAGTGAAGGACCATTAGAACCTCCTCTGGACTGTGAATGGGTTTGGCATTGCCACAGACTTAATCCGGTAAAATCTAGTTCAAGATTTAAAAGCACATGTAGAAGATGATATCTTTCTCCAAGAAGCTGTTGCTAGATACAAAGCATTTCTCTACTTGATCAAAAGAAACAAAGAAAAGTCGATTGAATCGTGCTGGGTGCCTTTCTGATTGCATTGCGTGCATAGCGACTGAGCTACATGCTAGAAACGGCCGTGCTAGGTGCTTTTCTGATTGCATTCTGACCAAGATAAACGGTGATGCTAAGTGCTTCTCTGATTGCATTCCGACTGAGGTAGAAGCTAGCGACGGTGTTAAAGTTGTAAATTATTATAAAAAAAATGTGTTTAGTTGTAAATTGTTCTAATGTTTATTCCAAAATTAATGAGATTGTGAAGGAAATGAAGCGCAAATTTGAAAAGAAACGAAACAAAAAAAAAGTGTAAATCTCATCAACCAAAGAAAAGCGTTTTAGTACAAAAGCATAGTCTCACAGACGCAAACGCAAACACAAGGGGAAGTCCAAAAGCAAACAAAAGAAAGCTTCAGATATTGAAACAGTACGATAGAAATAGAGATAGAGAAAAGGAATCATTTTTATTGTTTAGTACTCTTCTCCTTCTTCGTCCTCACCATCATCACCTTCTGCACCAACCTCCTCATAATCTTTCTCAAGTGCAGCAAGATCCTCACGAGCCTCAGAGAACTCACCTTCCTCCATACCTTCACCTACGTACCAATGCACGAAGGCTCTCTTGGCGTACATCAGATCGAACTTATGATCAATCCTCGAGAAAACCTCAGCGACACTCGTCGAGTTCGAGATCATACACACGGCTCTCTGGACTTTCGCAAGATCGCCACCCGGTACAACGGTAGGTGGCTGGTAATTGATCCCGCACTTAAACCCGGTCGGGCACCAATCCACGAACTGGATGGTCCGTTTCGTCTTGATGGTCGCGACCGCAGCATTCACATCCTTTGGAACAACGTCTCCTCTGTACATCAAACAACAAGCCATGTACTTCCCGTGGCGCGGGTCGCACTTAGCCATCATAGAGGAAGGCTCGAAGGCTGTGTTTGTGATCTCCGCGACTGAGAGCTGCTCGTGGTAAGCTTTCTCTGCTGAGATGACGGGAGCGTAGGAGGAGAGCATGAAGTGGATTCTTGGGTACGGGACTAAGTTGGTTTGGAACTCGGTGACATCCACGTTCAAGGCACCGTCGAATCTGAGAGAAGTGGTGAGCGATGAGATCACCTGAGAGACTAGACGGTTCAGGTTTGTGTAGGTAGGACGCTCGATGTCGAGGGAGCGTCTACAGATATCGTAGATCGCTTCGTTGTCGAGCAACACAGAGACATCGGTGTGCTCGAGGAGAGAATGAGTCGAGAGGACGCTGTTGTAAGGCTCGACGACGGAGGTCGAAACCTGAGGTGATGGGTACACTGTGAATCCAAGCTTCGATTTTTTGCCGTAGTCTACAGAGAGACGCTCAAGCAAGAGAGATCCAAGACCTGAGCCAGTACCACCACCAACGGCGTTGAACACAAGGAAGCCTTGTAGACCGGTGCAGTTATCAGCTAGCTTGCGGATTCTGTCCAAGCAAAGATCAACAATCTCTTTCCCAACTGATGAAAAATAAAACGAATCAAACATCAGAATGAAATATGAATGGTTTTGATTCAATGGGTGTTTTAAGAGAGATTTCAAGTCTCGCTTACTGGTGTAATGGCCACGGGCAAAGTTGTTTGCAGCATCTTCTTTGCCACTAATGAGTTGCTCTGGATGGAAAAGCTGGCGATAAGTACCAGTCCTGACTTCATCGATCACGGTCGGCTCCAGATCGACGAAGATGGCACGAGGGACGTGTTTCCCAGCACCCGTCTCACTGAAGAAAGTGTTGAATGCATCATCACCTCCTCCCACTGTTTTGTCACTCGGCATTTGCCCATCAGGCTGCATCAACACAAGAGGGAATGAAGGATTTTCGTGAAGGGAGACCAACAAAACTAAAGAATCAAAATGTTCAATGTTTTCTTCGGATCTGGGCATAATTAGTAACTTAAAGTAATTTCCCAAGTCCAATCATATAGTTTCGTAGCTATTCCTCTAGAACTACTTGTGTTCAATCAAAATTAGCCTTAAAGAGACTGAGAAGCCAAAACTACAAGAGGGAGTGAAATACTAGTGAAGGGAGACCAACAAAACTAAAGTTTCTCTCCCAAATTCTAGAATCACAATGTTCAATGTTATCTCTATATCTGGGCATAATTAGTAACTTGAAGTAAATTCCCAAGTCTAATCATACAACTTCGTAGATTTTCCTCTAGAACTACTTGTGTTCAATCAAAATAAGCCTTTAAGAGACTGAGAAGCAAAACTACACCAACAACGCAAGAATAAGCTACGAAATTGCAGAGATCTACTCAGATCTACAATATATTTTACTATCAGAGACGATACTGCAGCATTTCGAGGATCAAAAAAACTTAATCTGCTCAGAATCAAACGATTATCTAGAATCCGAAATACGATTCTGGAACAAATCAAATCTAGCTACAGGAGCAAAAATTACACCAACAGAGCAAGAATAAGCTACGAAATTACAGAGATCTTGCAATGGATCAGATATACGATGAACGAACGATAAAACCTCTGGATCTGTGAAGTATGAAGTAGAATGAGAGGCGAATTATTATTCGTTATACCTGAATGCCATGCTCGAGACAGTAAAGCTCCCAACAAGCATTTCCGACTTGGATTCCGGCTTGACCAATGTGGATCGAGATACACTCCCTCATTTTCTTTGGCGGCGAGGAAATCGGAAGGACGACGGAGAAAAGACTTTGAAAATTGAAGCAGCGTTTATTAAGACGCGGTGCTCTCCTTTTCTCGTTAATCAGTGCAGAGCGAATCTGGCGAAGTCTCGTTTGTTTATAGAAGTGGTGGGGGACGAAGAAGAAGAAGAAGAAGCACTCAGTGTGTTTAACCCAAGTTAACAACTAACTATGGTTAAATATTTCAAATCAACTGATAATATATTTAACCGTGGTTAATTAGTTTGCCTCGATCTCACGTTATTCCTAAATTTTTGAAATTCGGAAACCGGCGAAAGTATCAAACGACGTCGGATGATCTTTTTTTTTTTGACAACAGATGATCTTTTTTTTTGGAGATATTTTATTTATTGTTATTTAATGTGTATTTAAAAGACCCGTTCTTTTTAAAAAGTTAAGCAGCACAAGACAAGCATGTGAAAGCGACGTCGTAACAAAGACACATGTGTTTCACTGTTTGACATTGACCATAATTATTGGGCCTTTAAAAAAAGAAGCCTAGCCCATTAGACATACATAAATCACTTTATTGATATCTTATCTTTCTGGTACTAAATATAGTTGAATTAATAATAACCATGATAATAATGTTTTGAATGTACAAGTCATACCAAATTACAGCTAAACTACAGTTATCATGACATCTACTTTAGAAAATTTCATATATAATTTAGAAAATGAAAATCCAGTTTAGAAAAATCAAATCCCATAAATGGGCCAAAAAGGTTATTTTCTTTTTCTCATTTTCAAATGACATTTCAAGAAAAAAAAAACTTTCTACAAACAAATTACGAAGTATTTTATTAATTACGAAGTATTTAATTATGAATAAAATGATTCAATCATTAATTCTTCTAAAAGTTCCGTCAAAAAAGGGTTATTAATGTTCTGATACCCAAAAAAAGAGTTGCCATTTTTGTATTATCCAAAACTATTTCTTTGTTTGGATCGGAGAAGACGTGAAGGAAGAAGATAAGCTTCTGTTACTCGCCACGGTTCCCAATACATCGAACCATTTTGACGTCATCTTCACCTTCAATCCATATATAAACCTCCTCGTACCAATTTCGCCGATTCGCTTTCATTCTGATCATATCATCACACCTTTAATCGAAGCAAAATCAAGCTATGGATCCGAACCAACGCATCGCGAGAATCTCAGCTCATCTCAATCCTCCTAATCTTAATCAGGTTCGTTTCCCATTTGAATTCTCAGTTTCAGACGATTCTTTGATTTTGAAAATTCATTCAGCTTGGCTTTTGTTTTGACCCGATTTCGATTTTGGGTTAGATTGGTGATGGGTCGGGTCTGAGATCGGTGGGTTGTCGGGCCAAAGGTGGATCGCCAGGATTCAAAGTGGCGATACTTGGGGCAGCCGGAGGGATCGGGCAGCCTCTTGCGATGTTGATGAAGATGAATCCTTTGGTTTCGGTTCTGCATCTCTACGATGTTGCTAATGCTCCTGGTGTTACGGCTGATATTAGTCACATGGACACTAGTGCCATCGTAAGCTCTAAACTTCTTATAATTTTTCAAGCCTTTTGATTTCGAAAATTGGCAGTATATAGATGATGCGTTAAGAACATTTGAGCTCGAAGATCATGTACACTAGCTCCGTTCTAAGATATAATATAATTCTAGTGTCTTCGAGGCTATGATCGAAAAATGGTAGTACTTAGATGGTAGTTTGATTATTAGAGACGTTGTTGATACAATTACAAATAGTTGATGAGCTAAGAAAGTTGAGGCTTTGATTCGGAATTGGTACTTATATGATGGTTTTATAGAGAAAAATGAGGTCAAGATGATCAGTCACTGAGGTCGAATCACAAGTTAAAATATTGAATGTTTTTTAAGGCATTGATTTGAAAATTGGTACTATTATATAGTTTAATAGAGTTACTGTTGATTCAAATGGAGCTAAGAACATTAAGATTAAGATCATGGACACTAGTGCTGATCCAAGCTCATGATTCTGGGGCGTTGGAGGCTATGATCTTTATTTTGGTACTTATGTGACGGTTTAATATGGAAATAGTTTGATACAGTTAGCTGATGAGCTAAGAATATTGAGCTAAAGGTCATGGACACTAGCTACTTAGGAATTCCTAATTTGTACTTTGATGATGGTTTGATAGAGAAATTGTTGATACAGATAGTTGAAAAGCTAACAAATTTGAGCTCAAGACCATACACTAATGTCGAACCACAAGTTAAAACCTGAGATTCTTGTTTCAGGTTCGTGGGTTTCTCGGGCAACCGCAATTAGAGGAAGCACTAACAGGTATGGATCTAGTGATTATACCTGCTGGTGTTCCGAGGAAACCAGGAATGACTAGGGATGATCTGTTCAACATCAACGCTGGGATCGTAAGGACGCTCTCTGAAGCTATAGCAAAGTGTTGTCCCAAAGCGGTTGTGAATATAATCAGCAATCCGGTGAACTCTACGGTGCCAATCGCAGCTGAGGTTTTCAAGAAAGCTGGAACCTTTGATCCAAAGAAACTCATGGGAGTCACCATGCTTGATGTTGTTCGAGCTAATACTTTCGTGGTATGCACTCGTAAAATATTTCTCAGAATCGCATGTTGCCATTATCGTCTAGAACTCAGTTATCCTCTTCTTCTTGTTCTTCTCTGACTTTATGGTTTGAAACAGGCGGAAGTAATGAGTCTTGATCCTCGAGAAGTTAATGTTCCGGTTGTTGGAGGACACGCAGGAGTTACAATTTTGCCGCTGCTTTCTCAGGTTTAAAGATGATTCACTTGGAATTTATCTTTCTGTTTGTTCAAAGGATATTCTAATGATTATTATGTTTGTGACAGGTGAAACCTCCTTGCTCTTTCACTCAAAAAGAGATTGAGTACCTCACCGACCGCATCCAAAACGGTGGCACTGAAGTTGTCGAGGTATAAACTGTTCTTTTTTTTGCTGTTATCAACTTTGAATCAAGCGTTGCATTTAGCGGTATTGTTATCCATTTGCAGGCTAAAGCTGGGACAGGTTCTGCAACACTATCCATGGTAGGTCTTTATTGTAACGTGTGCAGTTTTAGATAAAGTCCGGATTTGGTTTTACATTTCAATCTCTCAACACATTGAATGTAATATTACAGGCTTACGCAGCAGTGAAGTTTGCAGACGCTTGCCTCAGGGGTCTACGAGGTGATGCCGACATCGTCGAGTGTGCATTCGTGGCATCTCATGTACAGTCCTTGTTGAAATCATCTGTATAATGTATCGCTACTATCTTTGGTTAGCCTTAATTACATTTGATTAGACTAAACTTTTGTCTTATATCCTGAAACAGGTTACTGAGCTTCCCTTCTTCGCATCAAAAGTGCGTCTAGGACGATGTGGGATCGATGAAGTGTATGGTCTTGGACCATTGAACGAGTACGAGAGGTAAAAAGTTGAAATCTTGAGAATTTTTACTACGAGCTCTTATGTTCATATCGGTATGATTTTCCTCTGTTTGATCAGAATGGGATTGGAGAAGGCAAAGAAAGAGCTTCAAGGAAGTATTGCGAAAGGTGTAACCTTTGTGAAGAAATAAAGAAGACTTGGTTGTCAATAAACACTCAAGTTTCTCTTTCAAATAGGAATGATTGTGGAATAAGAAACAATGCCTTGCAATAAAAGTCAGGTCTCTTTTGGGATTTTCTTGCGAGTAAGTCCGATCTTGAAGATTCAAGAAACTGCGACCACTCTCTGTTCTTTTAGATACAAGAACGTTTGATATGTAATTGGGTTATTAAATTTTAGAACAGAGCATTAATTTTGTAACTTTTATTTTATTTTATTTTATCCTATTTAAAGTATGAGAGATTAGTGACACCATAACAACTTTCAAGCTGATTGGTTAAACAGTTTAAGTGTATGTTACAAGACTAGTTGCAGGCAAGATTATAGCAGTATTAAAAACAATTATGAAAAGGAGATTGTTGACAAAATAATATTAAGGAGATTTTTCAAATATTTGTTTAAAGTTAAAACCTGTAACTTTTATTTATAAATCATTTTAGAAACCACAAATCGAGTGACACCATATTTTGATAAACTTACAAAATCAGGATATCAAATAACACAAACTTTTGTTTATATAAATATTTTTTGAAAGATATTTATAATACTCGATCCAATAAATTCACTTAATGTCATATGCATAGAAAATATATTTGTTTTTCTATCGCTACTATGCCCTCTGCGAAAACGTGGACCAAGTAGCTAATGATAAAGTTAACATATTTGACTTTGCAGCTTCGTTGTAAAGTCATAATCAATGTAAAAGATTTCTTGTTCCCTAGAAGCCAATTAAAAAAAAAAATTTAGTTCTTCATTATTAAATCAAATCATTGAAACTAGAAATAATAAAAATTAGCAAACCAATGATACAGCCATAATTAAGTACACACTGATCCATCCAGCTAATTCCAATCAACAGATCCCATAAATCTCATGCCTCCCTCTGAATTTATGATCCAACTACTAAATTAAATGAAATAAAAACGAGTGATTTAATTTAAAGCTGACCCAATGTTGTAGAGTTTTTATTCCAAAAGTGTAAACATTTTACAAGAAAAGGCCTTTAAATCTTAAAGAAAACAAGTGCTCACTCTTATTCTCACTATCCTACTAATACATAACTTATGTTAAAATTAGAGATCAAATCACACGTTTAACAACTGCGAAATTCATAAAACGATTAATGAAAAATAAAAATAAAAAACTATTCCGCTAACGCAAGTCTTATGTTCTTCACGATATCTTCAATAGGTCGAGAAAATTTGTTGTCCATCTGCAAAAATATCATAAAAGTAACAAAGAGAATATTACATTTTTGTATGCAAAAATCAATAAGATAGAATAAAAATATTATAAGATCCACAGGTAGTATTATTTACCTTGGAGAGAATGGTGATAACGAGAGTTGAACTTCCAAAGGGTAAAGTGAAACTGTTGACTATTTCAAGACGAAACTTCTCCAATGAACTCAAGATCTTAATCAGACAACCTTTGTTCTTCTCACAGTGAATCTTAATCAGCAAATCTCTGTCTGAAACTCGAGCTTCGATCATAGGCATCGTTTGTTTCAAAATAGAAACTTCGTCTAAAGAAGAAGATGGAGGAGAAGCAGCAGAGCAAGTAGAAGAATATGATGAAGATTCTTCTTCCACATACACTTGAGATCTCTTCACCAATATAACAGATTGATCCATTTTCTTGTTCCCTACTTGCTCTTCCTCTAGCTTCTTTACTCTTTCTTGAAGTTGTTTCAAATGCTTGATCGCGTCTTCAAGAACAGTTGCTTTGTCAGCCTACACACAGACACACACACACACACAAAATTTGTTTATGTTATGGGAGATTGTGACACCATCGAGATTTGAAAAGTAGGACCTACCAAACAAAATTCTACCAGCAAAAAGAAGAAAAATGCAATTTTCTTCTTACAAAATACTAAAACATTTTCGGATTTTTCTAAAAGTACAAAGGAATTTTCTACGATTTTATAAAAAAAGACTTTGCTTAAGATATTTAAAATTGTACTTTAAAATGTAAAACGTAAACCGAAGAAATAATTGAGGGCTAAAATCGAATAAAGAAATGGTTTTAATTTACCTTTTTGAGACCAGGAAGAAGAGCAGAGAGAGCAATCAAACGTTCGTTGAGCTTTTGTCGACGTTTACGTTCAGCCAAAACATGTTCTTTCAGTAGATGTGGCTCTCTTTTGCCTCCAATATGACCACAGTCTTTTCTTTTGGAACCCACTCTCTGTTCCATGTTTGCTACGTTGGAGAAGTTCAACGATGTCTCGACCACATTCATTTTCTGGTCTGGAGAACCAAACGAGATCACTTGCGGGGTTGTAAGAGAACCTGAAGAAGAAGAAGATGTTGGAGAAGAAGATGTTGAGTTGACTTTCATTTGCTTTGTTGGTCTCTCAGGTACCAACTTGGATCCGGATTCAGAAACAGAACTCGGTTTCGTGTTCTGATGATCAGTAGCTTCTCCGGGGAAATCGGGTTCCCAATCATCAATCAGATACTCGTCTGTGTCAATCATCAAATCCATAAAGCTTGAATCTTCCATTTTTTGCCTGTGGATATATCACAATAACGTTTATGTATTGATTAGTCATTTTTCAAGAACAAGAAAAGCAAACTATACTAAAAAGAATAAAACTGGATAAGATACGAAAGCAAAAAAATATATATATATATATACCTTAGGAGACAAATCTAGAATTTTTCTTTTATGGTTTGGAGCAAGAATGCTTTTGTTTTGTTATGTGAATGTGGACGAGTGAACTCTTTATAGTGGTTTTTTGACTCGACGCGGCTTCACATTGTTCGTGCAGAGTATTTGATTTGGGTAATAATAATGTTTGGTTATTTTATTATATAGTACTAGTATATAATATCGATCTGAAAATAGCATATGGCTAAAAAGAATTATACTAATTGTTATATAAATGCATCGCAGATTCACGATATCGGGCAACCGGTTATCCGATCTGGTAGGTTTAGCATTATTATTATTTTAATACACTATCAAGAGATCTTGAAAACTAAAAAAATAAGTATTTGTATTCAATAGAAAAATAGTTTGGTGATATTTTAAAAAATGATAGTAGTGGAGAGATAAAGAAAAGATTTGTTCCGTATTTCATGTTGAAATTTAATTCAAAAAATGGAAGTTGAAATTTAAGATTTCGGATTCACGATTTAGTTTTGTTGCGAATCCATCTGATAACTTAGACAATTACCTTAAAAAAAAGATGTTCTAGGAAAACATCACATATCATATAACAGTTAACTGAAAATATAATCGTATACTTCCTTTCTTTTACTTGATGTTTTAGAACTATGGACACGAGTTAAGAAAATTGGTATATTTATCCATTAACCTTACTTGTTATTGCTTTATTTTTAATTCATTAGTTAATATAATGATAAACAGTTTACTCCATTTAGCATTGAATCTTACAACTTTAAATATTTGTGTGAAATTTGTGAAATCAGATTTTTAGAAGAAGAATTTATTCATTTTATTATCATTGTTCCATTATAAATAACAAATAAAAGATTATATTATATGTGAATGTATTTTAATTATATAACAAGAATTACAAATCAGAAATATGATGAAAAGTGACATAATAAGATAAAAAAAATTATAAAAAGATGTAAAATATGAGTAAAAAATAGAAAATAAAAAATCAAGGATAATTATTTTTTATTATACAATTTTTAAAAATATTTTAAATTTTATGTAAATTTATTTTTTGCTATATACAATTTCTAAAACCTATTAAATCATTTTTTCACAGACTAGATTTTTTACAAATATATACCGAACAAGTTATTCATTTATTTATTAAAAATAATGTATTATTATTTCAATTTTTATTAAAATTTTGCCAACCACTGAATTAGTTAATTCAAAGATAAATAGTTTACTCCATTTAGTATTAAATTTTGTGAGAACATCACTTCTTTTCAAACAAAATCAAAATACTAAAATACCACTCTTATTAATAAAAGCCCTTTATTTTTTTTGATAAATTAACTAAATAAAAATCCATCAATTCAATTGTAAAAAAATTTTAATAAATGTGGGTATTGTTTTAGTTGAACTTGGAGTTAATGCGTGGAGATTTGAGTAGCTACAGATGCGATGAGATCTGACATTGGAAAACTGACATGATTTAAAATTAAAGTTTTAATTATCTTTCGTACAATAAATGTATCCAACTTGAGAAAAAGTTTAGTGTATGCGACATTGGGTACGATACAACGACCGATCAAAGCATAGCAGAAGAATCAGATAAAATGTAGTTAAAGAATCATATGAAATATGGTTGAATGAACAAAATATAATAAACTAAAACTGTAACTATTTGTTACGAGCTTCTGGGATGTGAATCCTCAACGGGCAGATAGTTGGATTTGGAGAAATCTTTGTAAGCTTCGTCCAATTGCTCAACCGTTTGTTACTTGCGTAATTGGTTCTGGAATAACATGCAGTTTTGGAAGGATAATTGGACTTCTTTAGGCCCTCTCTTGGATATTACCGGTGTGAATGGTCCTCGTGTAACGGGTCTTCCGGCTGATGCCGTTGTATCGGATGCTTTACGTGATGGGGATTGGTGGGTGTATAGGAGTAGGAGCAGACATCCGATTATAGAGCTCCTTAAGGATTGTTTGCCTTCGTCAGAAGTGGTTTCTGCATCAGGAGGGAAAGATACATACATGTGGAAAGTGGGGAATAAGCTCCCGTCAAATCGGTTCTCGGCTGCCGAAACTTGGCATTTTCTAAATCCATCATCTATAATTGTGGATTGGCATGAAGCGATTTGGTTCAAAGAAAATATCCCAAAACATGCTTTCTTGGCTTGGGTGGCCACTCCCCATAGATTGCATACAAGGGACAGATTGTTAAGATGGGGAATGCCAGTCCCTTCGGTTTGTCTTCTCTGTAATTCTTTGGATGAGTCTAGACAGCATATCTTCTTTGAATGCCCCTACAATACAAAGATTTGGTATTTCTTCACTTCAAGAGTTCATGTTGCTCCTTTTTTATTATTTGAGGATGGAGTGAGATGGATGAAAGACCCCAACCATGATAAGAATATGTCTCTAATTCTCAAGTTCACTTTTCAAGCCTCGTTATACATGATTTCGAAAGAAAGAAACGCTCGGCTACATTTGTCATCAGCGCGACCTCCGTCGGCACGTATTGTAGGCATCCAGAACACGATTTGCTACCGTCTTGACTCGCTATCAAGGAATCAGCGTAATCTACCTTCAACAGTATCACTCCTCAGTACTTGGTTCAATTTATTTCAGAATTAACTTCCTCTGTTGTCCATTCTGCTTGTTATTTCTTGTTTTATGTATTTGGATCTCTATCTAATATAAATATTTTAAAAAAAAACTGTAACTATTTTTTTTTCTAGCTATTAAAACATCAACTTACATTTTTTGTTGTTGAACAATAACATTAGCAAATATTTTATGGTTACTATATATGTAAAAATGAATAATGTGAGTTAAGGAGTAGCTATATATAAACATTCATTTTTACATGTAGAGATATAGTAATGATATATCTATAACTATATAGTTAGGAGTGTTTGCATCTGAAACCATGTCTTCTTTTATATAGGTATATCAGTGTATTTTAAATAAAAAAATGTTTTTAAAATTTTAATGTCATATTTTGTATGTAAACAAAAAATATAATATATAAATAAAATTATTAGAGAATAAATAGCTATATAATGAAAACTTATTTTTTGTAATAAATTATTAATTTTATAAAATCATAATTTTATTTAATTTATGTTAAAATAAATAGATAAAATTTGTATATTTTATATAAATTTTAACAGAAAATAATAGCTAAATATATGTTAGAGATGGGCTTATCACTCTATTTTAAAAACTTTTTATTAATCGAAAGTAGCCCATTAAAACCCATAACTCCATTGCCTAATTAGGTTGGTATTGTAGAAAGAAAATATTCTTAAATAAATCTAAAATCCGAAGAAAAAAGAAACTAAACCCCAGAAAAAAAAGAAGTTTACCTATTTCAAAAAAAGAAAGAGGTCTTTTTTATGTCGTCTATATTGGGTATAAAAAACGATTCTCCTTTGGCTGGAAGGAGATTCAAACAATCATACTCGAGATCGAGAGCAAAATTTAGTTTACAACTTTCTGATTTTAGGTCTTGAATTCTCTACTTAAAAATTTGGTTGACATTCTTATTCCGACGACCTAATCATTTATAATCACCAGAGTCCCAACTGAAATTTTGATAAAACTTTCTCTTTTTAACTCCACAACTCTTTATTATTTCTATAAATAATATTGAGATCTTACAATATAGATTTTATATTTGTTAAATAGTACTCCCTCCGTTTCATAATAAGTGTCATTTAGAAAAAAATGTATCTGCATTGTAACTGTATGTATCTGGATGTGTTTTGAGTTTAATACATTCATATATATTGCAGATATATTTTCTCCAAGTAACACTTATTACGAAACAGAGGGAGTATAAACCATTTAGTTTTTTTATTTTTGTAGTAAATGTATTTTATTATATCATTAGGTTCTGTTGAATAGCATATTAATCTTGATTTACTTTAAATTTTCTCTACATTTAAATAATTTTGATTATACTAAGAAAATTTTAAACATATCACTTTAAATTAGTTCAAAAATATGTAAAGTACAACTCTAGTAAGAGAAATTTGGTTCAATACCAAAACAAAGCTATAATATGAAAACTAGCTATTTTCTCTCTCTATCTCTTCCTAACTCTAGTTCTCTGTACACATTTTGGTTAGTTTTTAAATTATAATTTGTTTTTGGTTATTCATCAAATTCACCCTATATTTTAAAATTGGGTTAATTATATGAACTCATAATTTATACTTAAAACTATCATAGTCGGGTAAATAAAAATTGAATGTGAAACAAAAATAAATTATATATCAACCATTCCATTGTATTTGTATTTTTGGGGTTAAAAGTTAAAACCATTCCATAGTATTTCATCAAAAAAACACCAATTCTAATTTCTAAACAACAACCTTCAAGTTAAAAAAATAAAATAAAGCAGATTCAGTGGTTCTAAAAAAAATAAAAATATAGCCATTATTTGAAAAGAAAAGTTAGAAAAACTAGTGGCCCTAATCCTTTTAGCTCGTTTACACAGTGTCATCATTTGTATTATATCTGTTATTTAAGTATATATTTGAAATGCAGACAAAAAAAATAATAATTCTATGCACAAACTCAGCTATAGGCCCACACAATATTAAGAAATAGTGTCCTTGCATTATGTCACAGATAATAAAAAGTCGTTGTTATTATTTAATTTTTTTCTCCAGAACTCCAGATAGATTCAACGGTAGCCTCGTATTATTGCACAAACAAGTAGGAATTATATGTAGTCTTCATTATTCAATCTCTCATGGCTGAAGAAGATATTTTCAATAATTTTCTATATGTAAGCATAATATATTTTCAATAATTTTCTATATGTAAGCATAAATCTAAAGCTACGTAATGAAGGATTTGATTTTAGTTGTCCTTCAAATGAATAGATTAATCCACACATAAAATATAACTAATTAATGGTTCTGGTCTTTTGAGCAATACAGTATATACTTCGAAAGTATAGCAAGTTCGGTCAAATTGTAACTTACGGTGGATCTTAGTATCTGCGACGCTTGCAACGAACCACATTAAGGAAAAAAAACATGTTGAATAGTGAATACCATCATTGGTTATGATCGCACCAATTGTTATTTTATTTTTATTATTATAAGATGATCGAGCCAAAATGTAAGACTAATCTCTATAAAATATGTAGAGTACCGAATGTTCTTATCATAGTAGCTAACAATGGTTAAAATTGCAGAAAGAAGAGTCGGATTTTTGGTAACCCTATGATGAGCCTTTCAATCTCAAAAATATGTTGAGTACCGAAAGTTCTTATCATAATATAAAATATGTCATAATAGCCAAAAAAAGAGAATAAATGAATCGAATTGGAGTATATAGAAAAACATTTCTCTGGGACAATATGTCATATCCTCGTGGATCATGTGTTAAGACGATTTCTTGAATCTTCTAGTTGTTTAAATCTATCAATTTCTTTTCCGATATTACCTACTAAGAGAGATCACATATCGAAATCAAAATTAATCTTTAGGACAAGGATCGGACTCAAAATCGCCCTAATGTATGTTTTTCCGAATAGGATTTTAGGACTCAAAAACAAAATTTTTTTTCTTCTCCTTAATAGTATATACTTACGAGATATAGTAAAATAACACTTTTTACGAAATACTGTAGATAAAACTGGACCGGCCGGGACGGCGGGACCCTACGTCTCGATAGGTCGGGGCTAAAACGGATTAATACCCAAACGCTAAAGTCCAAACTGTACCTCACGCATAAAGTTAATACTATTTTGCATCGTAAAAAGGAACAATGAATTTGCCCAAAAAAAAAAAAGGAACAATGAAAAATCCACTCACATATTAGAACACAGTGGTCGAATTAAATTCATTGGATATAATGATAAGGCTCAATTTATAAACTTTCGACCCAACGCCAATCAAGAATTTGGAGATTCTAATCTTATAGTATAAAATTTGTAAAAGAACTTAAACAAACAACAATTTTTTTTTTTGTAAAAGAACATTTTTTTTCTTCTTTTTTCAAATCAACTCTTATTCATATTTCTTTCGATTTCTTTGGTTGCGTTATTCGAAACTGAATACTGAATTTATTTTATGATATATGCGATTATATCACTGCCAAATTTACAGCTGACTTTAATATAGCTTTTTACAATCGAACTAGTATCTTAAAATGTTTATGATATATGAAAAATAAAAATCTATAATAAGGAACAAATTAAATAGCATAGGTTATTGATCTCTTACGTGGAAATCTTAATTATACGTCATACCCCCTCCGTTTTAGCCAGTGTGCTTTTTTAGGTTTAATGGTAGAAGAAACGTTGTAGTCAGTGTGAAACAACTACAATTGATGCAATCAGTTTAGATCAAAGTGTTATAATCATAATAATAATAATAATATTCGATAATATAAATATAAATTTGTAGAATTAACGGTTCAGATAGCCGAAAAAATTATTATTTCAAAAGAAAAAGAATTTGTCAGTCAAATTTATGTTTACAAATATTGTAACTTTTCTTTTTGTAGTTCATATGTTTGAGTTTTTGAGTACAACATTTGAATGTTTCTAAAATTAAGCCATTCACATCCCTCTAACTTTAAAATCGTTTTGTTTTGTTGACATAACAATATGTTGTAATTTAAATATTTTAATGGATGATTAAGACTACGTACATAAACCGCTTTAAAGATATGAATATGGTACACAACTACACATGCATTTGCTTAGAATAATAGTAGTACGTTTTTTTCCTTTTGGCAAACGACGATTGATTTTCGAAGTTATTAATGGCGATGACAATAAAAGGTGATGTTGACCACGTGAACACGTGATTTCTGTGATATTTTGTCTTGCTTTGATTGATAAATGGTAACTTCGGCTAGGGTTGAATTGTCATGTGTTTTTCATGGAAGAATTTTTTTTTTAAGTAAGAATTTTCATGAAAGTTACCAGATATCATTTTTGTTCTTTTTATGTTGCTGTTAATTACGACTCTCTTCATTTTAAATTTAATGATTAAAATTTGCACACATAAATGAAAAAAATATTGTATAATACTATTATAATATTTTCATTTTTGTTAAATTATTAGTAATTAACTAATATGAGGATAAAAAATTTTAAGATATTATATTTTGCATAAATACATTATTTATTTTTAAAAAGACTTCTAAAATATAGAATTAAAAATAACCGGAGACAATAATTTTCCTGATATTAAAATAAATGATGTTTTTAGAAATCTATGCAGAAATAATATATAAAACTTTGTAAGTGATGTAAAGACTTTTGATTTACTTTCGATAATTGATTAATAAATATTAAGATACACAAACTAGTTCTTTTACTAGTTAATAAAGAGCAGTTGAAAATTCAATCAATACATAAGTTTTTTTTTGTAATAACTGAAATCAAGAAGCTAAACAAAAGATAACTGAAATCATATAACCTACTTAATTAGCAATGAAACGTTTTTAGATAGACTCCATAATAGCATATACATCATCACTTAGAATATAACTGAAGAAATATTTTTTAAAAAAGAAAAAAAATGAGTTTTTATTCTAAAATAACACTTTCTAAATCCTTGAATCATTTTTCTTAGCAGAAAAAGAAACTAATATATTTGTTTTTTCCTAAATAAATAAAGTGGCAGACCCAAAAAGCTCGAGTTGGTCTTGACTTTTATACATATATATTATATTCTTTTGGTTAGATTTTTTTGTTAGCATGGATAGAATTATTTGCAACATCTCTTTAAATCCTATTTAAATACACTAATCTGTACTTTTGTGACACGTACATAATTATCTATTTGAATGACGTTTGAGAATCAAATTTTTGGTTATAAAGGCGCCATACTTATAAAGGTGTAAAATAGTAACCTAACCCAACCCAACCAATAATCTTAATAGGTTGAACCTCTTAAGTTAATAATACTCCCTCCAGTCTCAAAAATATAATATTTTGAGATTTATTTTTGTTTCTAAAAAATTGATTTTCTACATTATATTAAATATATTTCTTTTTTCAAGATAATTTTTTGAATAAAAAATATAAAAAATAATATTAAATTAATAAATAAACAAAAAATACTTTAGAAAAATAAATAATCATTGTTTTCTTAATATTTGTAAAACATCTAAAACATCATATATTCTGGAACGGAGAGTACATAGATATGTATTCTTACCTCCTACTCCTATTACATCTAGCAACCAACCCAAACTCGTTCAATTATCTAACGAGTACAAAGTATTATACCCATTACGAATCTCAGAGCAAAAGAAAGGGGTCATAAGATCGATGCCACAGCTTGGGGAGTTTTTTCCAAATCTAAAAACTCGATGTGCCATCACGCGTGAGCATCCCAAAATGAAACATTACGACCCCAAATAGGTAAATAACCCATATTAGGATGAGATCAAGAAAGGAAATAAGTAAATAACCCCTTTTGACATTTTCCGAGCAACTATTGCTTTTGTATAATCATTTGGTGATCTATGCCAATTGCCAAATAAAAGCATTACAAAGACTCCCAATTGCTTTGAAACGACGTTTTTTAAGGGCCGAAAATCAAGCACCACATGCAAGTTTATAGTTGTCATAAAAACCGAGCTGATCAGTTGCAAACGACCACCAAAAAAAAAAAAAAGAATCTTTCTGAAACGTCATTTAAATTCAATAATTTGTTAACTTCATGTAATTTGGAGTTGTAAAACTGATATCTAAATCAATCCATTAGCATGTGTTGCAAAGAAAAAAAACATGTGTTGCATGTTGTTGTCATCAAAATATATACCTCCTTGGTTTTATTATAACTATTTTAAAGTTTTCTCATACTTATTAAAAAACAATTAAATTATATATTTTACATTTTATTAATATATTATATAACTTATTTCAATAATTAATACATTAAAATATTTTTATGACATAAATTATGTAAACTTAATTTTACCGGTTTAAATTCTTAAATTTTCTAAATATTAAAAAAATTGAAACAGAAAATAATACATATAATAGTAAAAATATTACTGGACAAGGTAGCACTATATGCTTCTCAGTTTGTTTAAACTGTTTTGAGTAGTTTGGTTGTCGAAAAAAAAAGTTGAGACAGAAGTTAAAATATTTTCAAAAATATGCAAAAATAGAAAACATCATTAAAAAAACAAAAAAAAATAATTTTTAAGGTATGAAAAAGATATAATAAATAGAGCAAAGAACAAAAACTAAAAAATCGACAAAGTTGGAGAAAACAACAGTTTTTTATAAGTTATTAATATATGAATTTAATATATATCTAGTAGTTTTTATATAAAAGGAATCGCGTGAGTAAAAGAGGTATTGAAGTTGTTTTCTTTTTGTTTTGCTAAAGGGTTTAAGATGTTTTCTTTGTTTATTACGCTAATGATTAATTAGTTTCACTAAACCAAAACCATGTCAAATTTTCCGAAAACTTTAAATGGGTAACATTAACATTTTTTCCTAACATTAATCTTATTCGAATCCTATCATTTTCTTGGAACGATTGTTGGGCATACAATAAAACTTCAATTATATACATTTTATTGGCAAGTGACAAACAAAACAGGGTAGGATTGACCACGTGATTCTTGTGATCTCGCCTTTCTCGAAAGGGGGTTTATTCGAAAATATATTGAAGATGAAAGATAGGTTTGTCATAAAAAAGCTACATAATTAACAGAGATAAGACATGTGTCATCTGATCTATAATCAAAAGTACTTACTAAATTGTTCAGTTGACCTTGTGACTATGTAAGTCAGACCGATAATCAAGAAAATATGAAAGAAATCTTAATATGCTTTCATTGATTAACAATTTAATCTTATTCAAAATTCAGTACAATGCCAGTTGTTTTTTTCTTTTGTTTTCAAATTTTCTTGGCTCAGCATCAACTTTATAATAACCCGTAGATAATTTTTTTTTATACTAAAAAGCAACATAATCGTGTACCTAATTAGACATAATAGATGTTAGTATCGACCGAGCAATAATTAACAACCTATACCCCACTAAGAGCATCCACAATCATTTTTTCTATTTTTTTCATTTTTTTCAGTTAAGAACCTTTGAAAGTTCTCTGCTCTAACAGATGAATCATAATCAAACAAGTATAAAAGAAGATCTGTTTAGACGAAGTCAAAAAGATAAATCATAAAATGAACGAATTAAAAGGGCAATCGATGCAACATCAATTATTAGTAATTTGAAAGCAAATATTCAAAAAACAAAAAAATCAATTACTAATTTGAATTAATAAAGACAACAAACGTAAGCTCGAGGTATAAAAGAGAGAATATTTATATGAAAAAAGACAATTCCAATTTGCATAAATTATTCTCTTATTATTATGTTCTTTTGTCTATTTTTTTGGGTGTGCAAATGTTCTTTTGTCATAATTATAAATCCGATACCTAAAATGAATTAAACAATATAATTTATATACGAACGACCTTCATTTGTTATCCTATCTATCATCAAGATCCTCAAAACGGGACAGTAGGTGATGCTTATCTTGTTTCAGTGGCTTGAGACATTGAGTGATATTTGCAAGTTTTCAAGGTTTTTTTGTTTTTGCTTTCTTTTTGTCCTTTTAATTCTTTTAATTTAGGTGCTCGGGATTGGCTTGGATCTTTGGAGATACACAAGCTTAAAAAATGATGAAGGACACACTTTTAGATGCAAACTTCTAGAAGGAAAATGTAGTTAAATAGTATTTTTTTTTTTCAGAATTGATAACACGTGAGACGAAATCATACTTTGGTCCTCGATCTCAAAGGAAGAGTTCCTTATAAGAAGCATTTACATTTTATTTTATTTTTCCATTTCATTAATTGTGTTGTTTTACAGTTTATTTTTGGTTTACAAACAGTGTTACTAAAATAAAAAATAATTCAGAGATTTGGTGTAATTTTATATTCTCAATGCATAATTTTAATTATCCAATTTAATCCTGCTAATTTTTTTTTAATGTATTACTTAAAGAGAGAAATTTGTTTAATATATTAATAAAAAAATAAAATATAAATTTTCATTGTTTTCTTAATGTGAAATATGTCAAAATGACAATTTTTGTGAAACAGAGAAGTATAATTTTGAATTGACATCAACAAAAGTGATCCCTACATTTCATATAAGTTATCATTTTAGTTTTTAACATATATTTAGAAGAAGAAAAAAAATTGCTTTTACTTTTCCTTAATTAATTCACTATTTTACTTCCTATAATTCTGAATTGATTTTTTTAGCATTTTTCTTGTTTTTTAAAGATAAATATTTTAAACTTTCTATACATTTTTACCACTTAATGATAACAAATCGTAGATTTCAAAAAATATATATTGAAAATTATTTAAAAAATCAATTAGTATTAGTTTAAAATTATAAAAAATTGCTTAATCTCAATATTTATACATATATAATTAAACATTAACATTTTCTTAATATGTGTGAAATTCTAGAGAATATTCTTAGTCATTGCATCTTAGTCGAAGCAAACTTTATACCACATGCACTTGGAAAAAAGAGTTTAGCAAAAAAGTTGATGATATGGTAAGTTATCAATAGTCTAGAGTGATTGTTACTTTGACATTTATATTACGCTAATTCTCAGTCATTGCATCTCAGTCATTGCATCCGTTTGTTAATTAGGCAGAGGAGACAGGAACAGAACCAAATCGAGGTGAACTTTTCGTTGCATCACGTACTAGATCAGATGAGAGTTTTGTTTGTGACGAAGCAAGACTCTATGGGGTATGTTTTCTGTCTCTCGTAGAAATGTTATGTGGTCATTTTTGTGTGAAGTCTCTTATGTTTTGTTATCACTTGTAGGATAATTTGAAACAAGTAATGACTGAGAATATTCAAAGTAAAGCACATGATGCATTTGAACAAGTGTTTGGTCCTGAGAAACCAGGACGAGTTCAATGTGAAGGACGTGATCCGACACCATCCAAATATTTCTCGAATAAGGAATGCACTTCATCTACTGCTGAGATGATACATATTAAGTCCCAAATGAAATGATTCGTAGATAAACTAGATGTCGTGGCTAATGCTCTTTATGCTCTTATTGAATCAAGAAAGCAAGAGCATTTCCAAGTAAGTTTTTGTGATCTTTAAGTCATTTCCAAGAGCAAATCATGTTAATAACGCAAATGATTTTCTTACAGGCAATTGCAAAAGATAAGAACACAAAGCTTAAGACAAATCTTTATCAATCATCTAGTATCAATAGTGACCAGGTAATAAAATTACTTTGATTTGTATATAATTTTGATACATATTTTACGTGTAACACTTTGTTCTTTATTTACAATTTCAGGAAAGTGGCATTTCAAAAACTGGAATTTGAAGTACTTTGAAACTGGTATGTTCTTCTTTTCTTTGTTGTAATGAACTAGAAAATACTTTGATCGAAATACATAGATTTGAGGACTTAAGACATAGACATAGTTTCTGTCTTGGTTAGAGAAGATTATGCTATGCTCTGTTTTTAATTTAGGGTTTTGTTTTTGATTGCTGATTATGCCATGTTCTGTTTTTGGTTGCTGATTATGCCATGTTTCTGTGTTTTTAGTGTCAGGTTGTTCTTGTTTCTCGACCAATTATGTTAAGATTGCTGCTCTGTCTAGAAAAAGTTCTTGTTTTTCTTCAATGTGTACTAGTTGCTTTTGATGTAATTTGACTCTTATTATAGTACTATATGTATCAACTTCTAATATATAAAACTTGTTTATCAAAGAAACATTACCAATTTTATTATATATCTTGTAAATTTTATTTTATTTTATTGTAGTTCTAGTTGATTTAGCAAATTGATGCTAGTTTAAATGATGTTAGTTAAATGACTCTAAAATATAGATCATGTGATGTTAAGTCACTTTACTAAGTGACACCAAGTTATTAGAATCAGTTTTAAATTGACGTGAACCAACAAAAAACCGACGTTAAATCTCTTCTTTTTTGTAGTGAATTTATTTTTCAGAAACAGAAGGAGTATTTGATATCATTAATAAAATTATGATAAAACTGAATGTTTTGTTAAAATTTTGCATTGAAAACATAAAACGATAAATAATTTAAAATAACAAAATAATTCGAAAACTAATATTAATATAAAACGGAGGGAATAATAACTTTGCAATTATTTCCTTCGAAATAGTTTGGCTCTGTACACTAAATTTCAACATATATAACCTAATATATCGCCACTACAGTTTTGTTAAACTTTTACTACCACATTTTTATGAGCTTTAATAAATAAACAAAAAAAAACAATGTTCAACAACATAGCAAATCCTTGAATAAAAAAAGATCAGTTTATTTTCTGAAAAAGAACATACTGTATCAATTTACATTAATGTCAACGGTCGTTGTCGAAAATAACCCCTTTAGTTTCAACCACTAAAGACAACACAAGAACTTTGCCTACAAAATACATCAAACACGTGATAGTACACGTGTGAAAAAACCTATAATGAAAACGACAGCAGTGAAACGACAGCAAATCGAGGAAAATGTTTCAATCTCACAGCTGAACCACTGGCATCAAGCCATCAATGTAGTATTGTAGTCAGTTACTAAAACTTTAAAGAAGCCTAAACCATTGCGAGTCTCAAGTTCCTTACAAGATCCTTAAGTGCACTCACCGAAAAATCTTTCTCCATCTACAATGAACATTTCCATAAGATAATAGTTAGTTATTAGTTTAATAATCCATTCAAACATCAATTTGGATTTAACTAATTTATCCACTTATGTATAGCATTTCAGCATTATGGACATGAGGATTATTATTAAAATTACCTGTGCAAGGACTGTGATGTCAAGGGTCGAGTCTCCGAATGGCAATACATTACTATTAACGATGTGTAATTGAAGTTTCTCGATCGTGTTTAGTATGTTAATCATGCATCCTTTCGTCTTCTCACAATGGATTCGGATTAGAACTTCGTTTTGGGATACTTTTGCTTCGATTTCCGGCAATGCTTGATCAACTTGCCCATGATCTGAAGGAGAAGACGAGATGTAAGGTTCCTCGTCGAGATAAAATTTAGATTTCTTCACAACAATGATGGATTCCATTTCTCTTGTTGCTTCTTTCTCTTCGCTGAGTATTTTTATTTGTTCTTGGAGTTGTTTCATACGTGAAATCGCGTCGTCAAGAACCGTTAATTTATCTGCCTGAAAAACATAAGATATTTGACAATGATAAAATTAACTTATGATTTTTTAAAATAAAATTATGTAGTATCACTCTTCCTTTTTACTTTGAAATTTGTAATAAACACAAAAGATACAAGAAATTACAGATGATCAACGGTTTAAATTCGGCATTAATTAGATTGTACCTTCTTAAGACCTGGAAGAAGAGCTGAAAGGGCAATGAACTTTTCGGAAAGCTTCTCACGACGCTTTCTCTCGGCTAGAACATGTTCTTTGGCGAGAACCGGAGATCTTGTGGCAGGAGAAGATGCTTTTCTTTTGGTTCCATGTCTAACCAATTGATTCATAATCATATCTTCCATAGCTGGAGAAGAAGAAACATTACTAGAGAAATCGAATGAAATCACTCGTGGCTTGTTACTGATCTCCATCATCTCCTTCATCGTGGGCTTTGGCTTCTCTTTGAGGAACTCATGACGCATTTGATGATCAAAATCTGATGAACGTTGAGCCCTTTGTGTATGCATGATCGCTTCATCAGGTAATAGAATGTTCTCTTCGTTAAAATTAAAGTCGAAGTTGATGTCTTCTAGTGAGAAATCGGGTAAGAAGAAATCTTCATCCATATCCGAATCGAGCAAGAACCGATGAAGAAATATCAAACTTTTCCTAACTTAAATTCAGACAAAAGACAAATATTGTAGAAAGATGTTTTTGTTGTTTTGTCCTTAAAGGGTTTATGAAAAGAAAGTGTTTTCAGGTATTTTCTTTATATATGTACAATAAGACGCGGCTTAGTTTTATCGCCCACTCCTTAATTACGTTGACCAGATTTTATGTATAATGCATAAAACGTGACGTATATCTTCGAAAATAAATATTATTTTCGTATATAGTAAAGTTATTATATACGATCGAGTCTAGAAGTTTTCTTATTATTGTCTACGATGATTGATGATCGTATAATTTGTTGACTTCTAGAGGTTTGAGATCACAATGTTTGCCGCGTCAACATGTAAAAAAAAAGGCATCAGATTTTTTTTAACATTCTTTAGAATGAATTATTTATTTAGATTTTATCCTATACTCATTAATATGAACACATGCATAACAGACGTGTCGTCCATAACGTGAATCATGTGATTTTTTTTTTGTCACAGTATTTTTTTTTTTTTTTTTTTTGTAATGTAGATTTTCTTAATCTGAAGTAAGAGAAAAAAATAACATATATTTTTAATAATCTCGATGTCTGGACTAGTCCAATGAATGCATAATTGTTAATTTGTTATTAACTCATTAAATTTTGCAAGTTAGTTTTTTTTTAAACTTTATTTTGCAAGTTAGTTTAAAAGAAGAGGTTTACATGTGAACCGAATTGAAGAAACTTCAACCGAATCAACTTATCAAAGTAAACCGAACATCTGATAGGCTTTGCAAATCTATTGATTCTGAAGCTGACACTAAGTTAATTTATCTTGCACGTTTCGTCATTAACTCATTTACTGCTCCTTTTCAACAGTTTCATTATACTACAACAAAACCAAAAAGTTCTACTACTACGCAAGTAAATAGCTTTTCGACATGCGTGATACGTCCTAATTATTGGGCTTCGTTTTACGTGTTATCGACAAAATCAAGAACAAAAACGTAAGAGATACGTGTAAATAAGCACGTGTTTTTGGTGTTGATTTTGTGGAGTCTATTATGGAGCTTATTATTTCCACTCGGAAACACCAATGACCAAGAAAAAGTCCTCAAGCCCTTTCACTTTCAGTCTTTCCTACTCTTGCCTAGTCTCTGTCCAGCTTTATTAAATTTAGAAGGATGTATAATTGTATATATAAATGATATAGACATTATGTATATATCAGGTTTATCTTGATTCTAAAAAGTTAGGACTTAGGACTATCCATACTTTTTAATCGATGTTAAAATTAATAAGATAGAAAAGTAATTGAGTTTATTAAATTAATAATTAGTTTAGAATTATAAAAAGTTGTTATTTACACAACATAATACATTTTTAATATAAATAAAGGCTTTCAAAAAAGTAATACATTTATAATCAAATTTCAATATGTTTTCTATATGTGTGAAAAAATTAAAACATGTATTAATTTAAAATAGAAGGAATATGATTAAGGCATTTGTATGAAAAGATATTTGAACGGAATTAAAATCAAATATGTTTCAGTTTGTTTTTTTATTTAGATTTTTTAAAAGGAAACATCATTTAAAGCAATTATGGTTGTTGATTGGTGTGTTTGAAAAAATGGGGAAAAAGCAGAGTAAGTGTTTTCTATTTTGTCGAATTTATTGAATTTAGATACCACCAAACTAAAAACTTTGGGTTGTTGCATTTTAGTTCTCATTGGGTGCATTATTTTTCAATGGATGATATCCACTTTTCCAAACCATGAAATAATTGCATATTACCATTTGTTGACTAATGATAAATTGATGACTACGCTTGTTTTCTTCACCGTGTAGTTATTGAGAAAAATTAATTCGGTCCAACAATCAAAACCTCCTAATATATAATAATTAATTTGCTATTCACATTTCACATTATCTTTGAATAGTAACGTAAACCAGATTGTGTCAGTAGCTAGAGTTAGCTAAATGTATATAAGAGTTTCACACATTCGTTGACCTAGCGATGTTGACAAGTTGTTCGATTTAATTATTCCACATCCAATTAATATTTTGCATGTATAGACTGTGAGAGACGATATCCCCCCATGCCCCATACCTAAAGATGTCGAAATTATCTTCTCTATTTTTTTATTCTAAGACATACCACAGATCCAATATGTTTTCACATTGTATAACCATTTTAGCGACTAGAAAATCGGTTAGTATGTAATAAAATTTGAGCCACTTTTGAAAATTTATATATATAAAAAAAAGAAGGAAACATGAAGATACGAAACGCTAAGACATTACAATAATTTTATATTATCTATCACGTGGTTTTAAAAATGAACCAATCTAAAAGAATTTTGTATATACCTCGACCCATTTATTCTGTAACAAAATAATTAATGGTGGATATGAATACTAGGCCTGGGCGCGGAGCGGATATCCGGAAAATTTTGAGTATTTGTGGTTTGCTTCGTTTTCACCGGATATCTGATTTTGTGATTTGCTTTGTTTCGAAAAAATACGGATATCCGGAAATGCGGATATCCGGAAAATTTACAAATATTTGCGGATATTTACGGATACTTATAGATATTAAATTTGTTCCATTCAATACAAGTAAAAGATGAAAATACATGTCTTTCTTTTTAAAATATGAACTACCAATTAAAAATAAGTGAAATAACTATTTTTATTTAAAAAACAGATATAAATAATAAATTATAATGATAGAAAAATAAAAACCATGTTTTATATTCAGAGAAGAATATTAATTAATTAAAACTCTAATATAAACTTTTCTAATTTAATTTCAAATATTTGATAACTATTATAGATGTTTATTACTTACTTTAAAATTATTATATGTATTTTTTATCATACATATTCTTTTTTTTAATTTGTTAATAAGATAATTAAACTATATAAAAATATTAAAAATTTATAATATTAATATGTATATATATAATCTGCGGATCAGAGCGAATATCCAAACTTTCAAAAATTAGTATTTGCGATTTGATTTGTTTTAGATAGATACTATATTTTAATATTTGCGGATATCCGGATTTTTCAGATCGAATCGAAGCAAATAACGAATTGAATCAAATATAATGGATAATATGCCCACCCTAATGAATACGATGGATATGTTATTGTTGTAAGAAGAAAATGCGGAAGAAGTTATAGTGCCATGTGTGGATGTCGACATCTCTATATTTTAAAATAATTTTTGTTTGATAACTATACCATATTGTTCCGATAACGACACGAAACCTTCTAAAATGTCCCCACCAAACGGGTTAGTGTTTCTCAAATGCGGTAAGCCAAACCGCAAACGTTTGAAGCTATAAACACGACCTGCAGAGTTTTATGTTGGTGATGCATTCACAGACACATACGGCCCAAAAAAGGTAGAACCAAAATGCAATGGTTCTGGGCCATGGCCATATGAAAATATATATCACATAAATAGATTCATTTAAAAAACAAGAAGCAGAGTTTAAAAATAGGTCTAAACATAAACCAAAAATAAATATTTCTTTTGATAAAAAATCTAATATTAAGGCTCCCAGTTATACTGGATGGTTTCGTTCACATGTTAATTTCGTGGTGACATGAACGCACCCTTAGTTCCCTTAGGAAGGCTAGAGGCACGATGGTTAACATATCCAACCATTTTGAATATCACAATGGCTACATATAATGATATAAACCACAAACATTTATATGGAATATACGTAGTTCGAAATTTCATACCATGCATGAGTAAAATTGAGCTGAAAGTGACTCGAATATGTTTAAAATAAAATTTTTTTTTTTAACTCATGGGTCATGGCCGGTGTATGTGAAAACCTATTATAAAATCTTTCAAGTTTACTAGTTAAACTATAATATATATGATGAACATTTCTAAGCAAATTGTCTATTATTAGTCCATATTTGTTTGGAAGCTTCTTCCCGTATCTACTATACTATTATATTTATATGTTTATGCGTACATGTCTATCTTCTCGATTGCAATAATATATTTATCAAATATTTGATACGTACTTCTTGAAATAAAACCATAATTTAGTATATTTTTGAAGGTTAATTAATATATAAGCAATATGTTGGATACGAAATCTGGATAACATAGATTAACCAAATTTATATTTTAAGGATGGGACAAATTTAGAACTGAGACAGGAGTGTATCTCCACTCCCTCGTTCTCAGTCTCAGTCAACGGAGTTGCAGATGGTTATATTCATAGCTCAAAAGGACTGAGACAGGGTGACCCTCTTTCACCTTATCTCTTTTTATTAGCTATGGAAGTCTTCTCCAAACTTCTGAAATCAAGGTATGATTCGGGTTACATTGCCTACCATCCTAACACAGCAGCGCTAGGTATCTCCCACTTGATGTTCGCAGACGACGTCATGATATTCTTTGATGGTCAGAGCTCTTCTCTTCATGGCATTTATGAGACTTTAGAGGATTTTGCGGGTTGGCCAGGGCTACATATGAACAGGCAAAAAACGCAGCTTTTCCAAGCTGGGTTGACTCAGTTTGAATCCGACACAAACGCTCAATATGGATTCACGCTTGGCTCCTTTCCTATTCGTTATCTTGGGCTGCCTTTGACGAGCAGAAAACTGAGAATTAGTGAATACGCCCCGTTGGTTGAAAAGATATCAAAGAGTTTTAGAGGTTGGGCTGTAAAAACGTTGTCTTTTGCGGGAAGGCTGCAATTAATTACTTCAGTCATCTCCGGGACTGTAAATTTTTGGACGTCAACATTCATCCTCCCTCTTGGTTGTGTCAGAATGATTGAGTCCTTGTGCTCAAGGTTCTTGTGGTCAGGGAATATTGACTCCCATCATAATGCTAAGGTGGCATGTTCTGCTGTTTGTTTTCCCAAAGTGGAAGGGGGGCTGGGTCTACGAAGATTTGCCGACTGGAACAGAACTTTATGCTTGCGTTTTATCTGGTTACTGTTCTCTACAAGTGACTCCTTATGGGTTGCTTGGCACAAGCGTCACCACTGCCAATCTGTTTCAAATTTTTGGTTTCAAACAATAAATATCGGGCATTCTTGGACTT